ATGAAATGGTAACTTTAGTTGAAATGAATTTCGTGGGAAAGGGAGGCATTGACGCAGAGAGAAGGCTAGTAGGACCCATATTATAAAAAGCGGTTATGTCATAAATATTACTAAAAAATTCAAAATTAATTATGAACAAAAAGTGATTTTTTTGGGGAAGTCCAAAAATGTGATTAATAAGGATTACACTTACTAATTATGGCTTCATCTGATAGTGACTGGCATGCTACAGTGGCCTCCAACACAGTGACCTCTTTCGGCCACCATCCCAGATCACGTTGACCACATTCACAATGAGAGCGACAACCACCCATCACCACTCATTCAACTAGTGACCACCGCCGATCGGGTAGTGTTGATCATCGCATACCAGTGACCACTCGTCCATCCATTTACCACACTTCCACCCCGGCGGTGATCACTTACGTCCTGTGAGTGACCACCACTCTCCGGCTAGTGACCACCCGCATTCCACCAGCATTCCACCAGTGGCCACTATTGTCCAACTAGTGACCAACGCCGCCCAGGACAAAGACCATCGCCCCGTCCAGTGACCACCCCGCCCCCTGCCAATGGTTCATAGCCCCAGTTTGCCCATACCCTCCACATCCCCGTCCAAACTCATCCCCAGCCTCTCCATCACTACTGCATTAGCTCCCCGCCCCACCGGTAGATCAGATGCCAGGATTTGTAAAGATAGTCTCTATAACATTACCTAAAATCCGCACCGCTGCGCAGCCAACATTGCGCCGTCATTACAGTAAAATCAAACGACGAGTGCGGTTGCAACGACGACATCACTTTGAATTATGACGACATCATTCCTTCCACACCAGTGACACTCTAAACAACTACGTATGTAGCCGACGTCGACGGATGTAGATGAAATCCAAAGCAGCGACTCGGAGAGCATCAATGTAGGTGAGAGCGAGAAGAAAGGAGAAGAAGATAGGAATTGTAGCGGAAAGCGCAATAGTGAGGAGAGTCAGCGGCGGCAAAGAGATTGGCGGCTCCAAGTTGAGAGGATCGATCAAGTCTTCATTGTCGGACCCTAGTTGAGCTCCAGGTTGAGAGAACCGATCCAAGAAGCACTCAAATGAAAAAACTTGGGCTAGTAAGGGTATTTTTCTGTCCTATTTTAAATTTAGTTTTATATATGTCGAGTGAAAGGTCATAAGTAATATTCCTACCATTACTCCTTAAAACCCCTCTTTATTACTCCCTCCGCCCCACTTTACATGCAGCCTACTTTCATTTTTGGTTTGTCCCAAAATAAGTGTCTCATTTCCTCTTTTGGAAAGAAATATGTGTCATACAACATTTCACTTTATTATACTCAAATCTCAACCACAACTTTTACTTTTTCAACCACATTATTAATAATTGTGTCAAGTCAAAATGAGACACATAAAATGGGACATAGGTAGTATTGGGCATGACAATGGGTCCCGACGAGGCGGGTCCGGGCAGGTATTGCAAGACCCGAAACTACCCCGTGACTTTATTGGGTGGACCCACACCGCCTTATGACCCGCACAGGTTCAAACTTGTTGATTCATGACCCGCCCCGCCCCACTGTAATCTAATATACACTTCGCGATTGAATTTTAAGCTGGAACTTTTTAGATATAATCTAAAATCGATGAAAAACATGTTCACAAAATTTCATACAAAAGTTCCGCTTGGAAGCAGATTAGTCTGATACGTAGTATCATTATTTTATTAGTTTATTAATTGATTTCATTCATAGTTGATTGTTTTGATTTCTTAATTGTTAATTGTTATCTATTAACTTATTAAGTGATAGTGTTAAAAATTTTCAAGTATAATTAAAGTTATGAATTTAATTAATCGGTGTACTAACATGATTGAATTTGGATAGGATAAAGAAAATTAAAAAGAGGAGAAGATTAGAGAAAACTGCATTAAGTAAAAAAGATTCAATAGAAAAATTTGTTTGTGTAAAGAAGTCAAAATTTGAATGTCCTCCTCAAGATGAGAACTCAGATAAGAAGAATGATTTAGCTACCAAAAATGAAACGATTCAGAATGATCACATCAGTGAATTGAAGGGGTGAATTTAGGAGTTAATAATAATAGAGTTAATTTCTTAAATAGAGACTAAAACATTGGCAAAGCGCACAAATAAGACAACCATTGTTTCCTTCCTAAATAAGGACCACCAATAACGTGATATTATAGGTTTAGACATAATTAGGTTTAATAATAGTTTATAAATATATTGAAATATTATTAATATTAGGAAAAATTGAAAATAATAATCCCAACTATTGTCGGTCAGCTACAATAATCCCAACTATTGTTTGTCCGCTACAATAATCCCACCTATTGATTATTTTTGTATAATCCCAACTATATTGGCCATCCACCAATAATGGTACATGATCAGGTAACAAGTGAATTTCAAATAGAAATTAAGCGTAAAAAGTAAAAGTTGTGATTATTTATGGGGATTACTTGCTATATCTCTTCTCATTCACTATAGAAACTATAGAAATTTATTTATAGCCGGTGACGTCGGACCATTATTGACGGAAGGTCCCTAAAGTTGAGATTGTTCTGAAACAATCAATAATTGTGATTATTATGAGCGGACCGCCAATAGTTGGGATTATTACTATCAATTTTTCCTTAATATTATTATTACTAGCATTTTGCTCACGCAAGGCCCGAAATCGTGTTCCCAATGTGATTATAGTGTCATCCTTTCATGTTAAAATATGATACGGAGTATAATACTTGTAAGCATATATGGTCAAGATGGTTGAGTACTTGAAGTACTAATGGAGAGATGACGTGTAAATCTCATGGTTCTAAATATGAGCCTATGTACTTGTCTAGGCGTTGCCTAGTCGCTAGCTTGGAGGTGGCTGGGCGCCTGATTTCATCGTGATCGGTGGAAAAATCGTTGTGGGGCCTAGACAGACACCTATATGATTAAGCGGTTTAGGTGGTGGCTAGAAGATTTGGACCAAATTTTTCCTAATTCAATTTATTTATTTTTTCGTTTTATCTTAAAACATCGTGGATCAAGAAGCTAATATTCAATTCCGACATAACTTATTTTCATTTTCCTACAATTAAAAATAAATTTTAAATATAAATAAATTTTTTAGATTGTATTTTAAGATTTTTAGAGACTAAAAACACAAATATCTTAACTTGTTTATTAATTATTTCATTATTGATGATTTTACTATAAAAAATTAACATTTAATGATTATATGAGCTATTTATATTGTCAAAATATTATAAAATTGCTAGTAATATAATTAAGGTTCAAAGGAAACAAAATAAAACAAAGAAATAAGGAAAAATACCTAGCTAGGTTTCCTAGGTACGTATTATTAAATAAAAGATCAATGTTCATATATATTTTTGTAAATTAATATTACATAAACAGTATGTGATACTTAATATAAGATTAAGAATATATACCAGATTAAGTTTTTCTTTTATTTATAAAATACTTCTTATACCTTACCCTCCCTGCATGTACTAATATGAAAAGAGTAAGTATATTTATTTATATTTTTAGTTACAAAAGTCTCTATATCTTATCGTCTTATATGTTCTCCTGGAATATGAACTGCATATGTATATGCATTTATACATTTACGTTAGTCTTACATTTAAACTAACGGAAGAAGCAGTCAAGCAACCATAACTCCGTAAGGATGATTATGGAAAGCTAACAAGAGAACAACTTCCTCAAGGTGATGTACAACCTCTTATGCATAGATTATGTTGACACAAAATGAGGGTACTAACTATGATTTTTAGAATATAAGGTTTTTAGATTTAGATTTAGATTAGATAGATTAGATGATGCATGTTAGTTTAGACGACACAAAAGAGTTTTATATTTTTTTAATAGTTTCATTTTAATTCTACGCTCTAGGCCTTCAAACATACATGACCGGTCTTGGGTAAAAATAGAAAATAAAGTTTTAAAATTAGAAGGCATTATTGAAAAAACAAGAGAGAGAGTTTTCATTGTCCGCTAGCCGGCCTAGGGGAAACCCTAGGCGACCATCTCCTGTCTTCTGCAAGATCTGATTTTCAAGCTTTTTCCACTTCAACCAGCAATGGTCTTGGAAGATGGTGATATTCTCTGGGCATTGAAGTATCAGATCAAAGATTTTTCTCTATGACTCCGCTCTTTTTAATTTCTACTTTTGAAGGTTTTTGTCTGGCGTCTTCTTTGGCTGAGAGTTTTGTCTGCTTCCGGTGAGCCTGTGATATGTTTTTCTCCTAGCGATATCTAGAGGCTGTGTGTTTCTCATCAGTGTAATCGATCTGGCGAGTTTTCGTTGTTCATTGTTGGCCAAGCTTTGTCAACCTTATCATTTTGAGGCTTCAATTACTCGCCCTCCACCTGAATCATCACCTCACTCTGGGAAAAAGAAAACACTCAACTAGATCTTCATTTCGTTGGCTAGTCAAATCGATGATTCAGATAATTTCTGCTCAGTATGATTATCTTTGTTGGTTGCTGGACAAATCAGTCCGCCTTTTCAGTAGCCGGTGAAGCCGAATCTTTATTTGTAATGTTTTATTTTTATTCAAAGTAAAAATGCCGTTAAACTATTAGACTAGACTGCGGGGTTAGCGATGTGAACGATTCACTAAAATTTTCCATCCAGTCTCATCTTATTGCGGTCTTAGTGTATTAGATCATTCATTTAGCTGTTATCTTGCTATTGTTTGACGAGTTAGAGTGGAGTTAGGTGTACACAAAAGTTGTACACAAAAGTTGTACACTTGTTTGTCTCTCACAGACAAGTTGTCTGTCCGGAAATGAGTTGTCGGTGAACAGACAATTCATCTCCGGACAAACAACTTGTCTATGAGGGACAGACAAATATACAACTTTTGTATACAACTTTTGTGTATACCAATCTTTTTTCATTGTTTGATAAGTTATTTTATTTAAGAAAAAGGAAAGACATTCGTATTGAGTGGAAAGAAAATTGTCGTTGTGGTTAGATCAACCTAGATAAGGCTCAAATTTTCTTCTCCATTCCTTTCATGGCCGCGAAACTCTCTGCATGTCTTCAAATCCATTTCATTAATCCACCATCCTCCTCAGACACGAAACACCCCGTTCTGTCCAACTCCAGAAGAAGAAGAAAGCTGAACATATCTTGCAATTCGTCCGATTCTCCCCCAAAAGTTGCAGAAGAACATCGCAACCAGAGAAATGGCCGATCTTTATCTGAACAACTCAAGCCTCTGTCCACAACCCTTCTTTCCGACCAGCCAAAGCAAACAAAGATCCAATCCAAACCCAAACCCACTTGGGTCAACCCGACCCGTCCCAGACCTCCCGCTCTGTCTCTTCATCGCCAGAACCGCTCTGCTTACTCCTACAACAACCCTCAACTCAGGGACCTAAAGATATTTGCTAAGAAGATGAATGAGCCTGGTCTCTCCGAGGATGATTTCTTGGCTGTTCTTGAGGAAATGCCAGTACCACTCACTAAAGAGAACGCCCTATTGTTGCTCAACAACATGATAAATTGGGAAAAATCCCTCCTTTTCTTCAAATGGATTAGGGCCAAAAACCAATTTCCACTGGAAACCATATTCTATAATGTTGTTATGAAGTCTTTGAGGTCTGGCTGGCAGTTTGGGCTTATGGAGGAACTTGCTCTTGAGATGGTGCAGAGTGGAGTTGGTCTTGATAACATAACATACTCAACCATCATCACAGGGGCAAAAAGGTGTAAGCTTTCCGGCAAAGCCATTGAGTGGTTTGAGAGAATGTACAAGACAGGATTGATGCCTGATGAGGTGACATACTCATCAGTTCTTGATGTGTATGCTCAGTTAGGGGAGGTTGAGGAGGTAATGAATTTGTATGAGAGGGGACGCGCTAGCGGGTGGACCCCGGATAATGTGGCATTTGCTGTTCTTGCCAAAGTGTTTGGTTCGAATTCGGATTATGATGGGATTAGGTTCGTATTGAGTGAAATGAAGGAACTTGAAGTGAAGCCCAATTTGGTTGTTTACAATACTCTATTGGAAGCATTGGGGAAGGTCAGTAAGCCCGGTTTGGCGAAGTTCTTGTTTGAGGAGATGTTGGAGAATGGGGTTGAGCCGAACGAGAAGACCTTGACTTTCATGATTAAGATTTATGGGAAGGCAAGGTGGGGCCGGGATGCCTTGGAGCTTTGGGAAAGGATGGAGTCGAATGGCTGGCCTAAAGACATCATTCTGTATAACACGTTGTTAAGCATGTGTGCGGATCTTGGGTTGGTGGGAGAGGCTGAGAGGCTGTTTGGTGATATGAAAGGGTTGCCGGGTGGACCTGACACCTGGTCCTACACGGCCATGCTCAATATATATGCGAGCGCAGGAGCTGCCGGTAAGGCTTTGGCTTTGTTTGAGGAGATATCTGAGGTTCGGGTTGACCTTAACGTTATGGGGTGCACTTGTTTGGTTCAGTGCCTGGGGAAGGCAAAGAGATTCCATGATCTGGTTAGGGTTTTTTATTCGGCGATGGATAGAGGGATCAGACCGGATGATAAGCTCAGCGGGTCATTGCTCTCTGTCTTGTCATATTGTGACGTTGGGGGTGCAGATGAGGAGAAGGTCTTTGGTTGTTTGCTGAAAGCCAACCCTGGCGTGGTTGCCTTCCTGAAGCTGCTGCTTCTTGGGCAAGACAGCAGCACAAGTCATGATGATAATGACTCTTTGAGAAAGGAGTTCAGAGAGATTCTTGGGAACACTTCTCCCGGATCCCGAAGACCCTTCTGCAACTGCCTGATCGATATATGTAGGAAAAGGAACCTCGGGAACCGGGCCCATGAGCTGCTGTATGCCGGGACCATGTATGGGCTCTATCCTGGTCTGCATAGCAAGACGCCTAAGGAATGGTGTTTGAATGTGCAGTCACTGTCCGTGGGTGCTGCCCAAACCGCATTTGAGGAGTGGATGGTGAGTATTGTTAAAATGGTGGAGCGGGAAGAGCCGTTGCCAGAGTTTCTCACGGCTCGCACGGGGGCGGGGACCCACAAGTTCTCCCAAGGATTGGCTCATGCGTTTGCTTTGCAGGTGAACACGTTTCAAGCTCCGTTTGAGGAAAATACTGCGGGGGTGTTCGTGGCCAATAGGGATGATTTAGTGTCGTGGGTTCAATCGAATGCTGCTGCTTCTTCTTTACTTGCTTAACCTGCATGCTGCATCACTGACCTAACTCTGAATCGATCATTTCGTTCTGATTTTTTGTTTTGCACCTATTCCTGCTTCTAAGACAATTGGCTCACTATTTTTCTTCTCTTTCTGAAAGGAGTGTATAATTTGTAGGAATTAGAAGTGGAAATGATGAATTGCTCTCATAATAGTCGTCTGTAGGGAAAAAGTTGGTGTGGAAAGGCTAGTCTAGAGTTCTTGAGTCCATTCCAATTGTTCTTGTTTATACGAAGGTTGACAGGAAAGAACTAAGGGGTGTTTGGAACGGATTCTTCTTTTTTAAAGCAGAATCAGAATCATTTTTGGAACTGATTCTAGGGCTATGTTTGGCATACAAAAGCTGGTAGCTTCCGACTTATCTATTATTTAAAATGTCTCCAAAAGACTCTAGTTTTGTGTTTGGCCCGTTAACTTTTTTTAGAAACCTGGGTCTTTTACGAGGCTAAGGCTATGTTTGGCACACAAAAGACTCTAGCTTCTAGCTTCTCTATTCTTTAAAAAGACCTTAAAAGACTCTAGTTGTATGTTTGGCATGACATTTTTTAAGAGCTTTTCAAAAATTAAAAGATCTTTTTTGAGATGCTACCAGGTGTAGCATCTGAGAAAAGCTCGTGACTTTTAGTTTAAATTAGTCCTAACAGCTTGTATACCAAACCGAACTAAATCAAACAGTCAGCTTTTTACCAAACAGCTATCACCTTTTCTTTTTAAGATCTTTTCAGTCACTAAAAGCTAACAGTTACTAAAAAGCTCGTAAAAGTATCTTTTTAGCTAGTTGTGCCAAACATACCCTTATATACGACATTCCTTGTATAACCCCAAGTAACCTGATTATCTTTCTTAAACCCTTTAATCCATATCAATTTTCAACCGATTTGTTTGTTGATTTTTTCGTTTTGTTTAATAATTTGTTGCCAAAACTTGTGTGATATTCAAGGTTGACAGATATTACAGTTTACATCAATTTGGTAAAAAATGTACTCGAAATTTGTGTTTGATTTGATCTTGATTTTTTTTATCTTTGTTTTTACGAATTGAAATATATTTCTTGATTTTATTCTTTATATTGATTACTATCAACACAAACGTTTGAAGTTCTTTGGGTTGTGGATTTGTTTCATGTTCAGGTTCGTTTCGTTCATTGTATTACGTACTGCTTTGGCTTTTGTTTTGCTTTATTACTAGCTTTTTGGGTTTATTTCCTTGGTTTTTCATAGTTTTTTGGGTATTCATGTTATGCTTTTTCTTCATTTTTTTATGTAATTTTTTAGTGTTATGTACTGCTCGGTTTTCTTTGCTGTTATTTCCTAACATTTTTCACTTTTGTTGTCCTTTTTCTTTTGTGTGTGCGCTGTTTTGTTTTTTATATACTTCGTTTGTTTTAGCACATTGTAGCTGTTACTCCGTATTTTTTTGTCCTATGCACATCAGCAACTCAATGGGTGTAAATGTGTAATATTGGTTATTCAGAATCGACATGAGTACTAAAATTTTGAATATGACTGCTGCCACAAATATCTTCTTCGTTTGAATGGATCATGAGGAACAAATGAATATGGAGTACTTGTTGATTTTTTTTATCGTAATGAGTACTTGTTAATTAATTAATAATATTTGATCATTTCCCTTAATTGTAATTTTATAATTTCAACTACTTATAACAGTTAGTTTTGCCAAACATGACCATTTAAAACAGACAGCTTTCATGAAACAACTACAGTCTTTTCCATCTGCAAGCTTTTCAGCTCAAAAAAGCTAACAGTTACAAAAAAGTCTTTAAAAGATTTTTTCAGCTTGTCGTATCAAACATAGCCTAGGAGTATATTTGAGTATTAGAATCACTTCTGCATTTTCACCCAAGTACTCCAACTTCTGCTCCCTGAAGGAGCAGAAGCAGTTTTAAGAATCAGATCCAAACACCCCCTAAAAAGAAAACAGGTGATTACTAAAACTCCCTTCATCTCATCGAGATTGCTTGCAAGTTTTGACCTGCACATCAAATACCTAATTAAAATTTATACTAGAGACCTTGCAAAAAAATTATACTAGAGAGATAGATAAATGAATAGAATTATATGGAGTATATTACTTATATTATAGAGCTAAGCGACAAAGTTTAATGAAATCACAAGAAATGGAAAATTGGCAAAGCTCTATGGAGGAAGTAAGTAAGCCTATCAATGGGTCTGATTTAAATTCGGACTTGTCTTTTTGTAATGAGTATGGGGTACATTTTATTCTGTTTACCCAGATTCCGATTCGACTTATAGGGAATGAGATTCTTTATAGGGAAAGTTCAAAAAGGGAAAGTGAAAACCTTAGAATAGAATGGTTGGAGTAATATTTTTACAGGAAAAAAGAAAGAAAGAAAAACTTGGGAATTTAATAGGACTGATGAAATGCCAGTTTCTTTTCTCTCCCATCCAATTGTAACAAGAATATTTACACATGGAGGTTTGAATAGTATTCTCCTGTAAAGTTGGATGGAAACTCACCTCCAAAATAGAGTATACTGTAAGTAAGCCACATCCCCAATCCGATTACAAACACTTGTCTAAGCTCTAAAGTGAGATGAAAAGAACAAACTACAAAATGAATAAATAACAATAAAAATTTTATGCCTATCTATGAAAAGAGGAATGTAGCGTCAGGTGTCTTCTACAAAATTTATACAATCAGCAGGCTTCCTTTCCTTAAAAGATCTCTTGCTCGACGTGTAGGAATCTTAAAATCATCGATGTTGAAACATGAACCTAGATATTAGATCATTAGAATTTGTCCAGACTGCAGAGGGCATGACACTTAAATTTGACAAGCTGCAGAGATTTTTTTGTGGTTGAATGAATGAATCAAATGTATTTTCCTGATGATTTCCAAATTCATCCTTCAAGTGAGATTACCATAACAGTGACATCATCATGGTACTTCCTTCTGTCTCCTGTTGGGATGTCAAGCAACTCATGTAATTCCAGTCCTGCAACACACATATAACAAAGCTAAATAACACCCCAACTTAAAGAGAGCAAGTGGACGTTTGGTAGTCATAAGTCCTTGCCTTCTAGCTTTTCTAATATTTAAAAAGTCCATAAAAATTCTTAGTTGTTCATTTGGCACAAAATTATAAGTTTTTTAAAAATGTAAAATCTTTTTTGGAAGCCACACTGAGTAGCTTAGGAGAGAAAGTCTATAACTTTTAACATTAATTAGTCAAAACAGGTTGTTATGCCAAATTAGACACAATAAAATAGACAGATTTCATCGAACAACTACATTTTTTAAATCCTTTCATTCACTAAAAGTTAACAATTACCAAAAACATATAAAAGTATCTTTTCCGCTAATTGTGTCAATCATATCATAATTAGTTAAATAAAGATCCTTTTAATCTCCGTAAATGAATGTCAGTTCATTAGGAGGGATTGTAGTAATCATATTCCACTCGATACTGGAAATGGACTCCCATAAAAGCATCTCAAACCCTTCCTAGTTCCTACTGGAAATGGAATTTGTAAGGAACTTCCACCTTCTTTCTTGGAAGTTGCCAAGAGGCATCTCACACCCAGGGGCGGCCTTAGGATATTAGAGGCCCTAGGCGCTTAATACTCACATACTGCGGCGTATTATATTAATAATGTGATTTATATAAGAAATATTTTTTTTTTACTTAGAATGTTTTCAGTTTCAAACCAGACCAGATATTGATATTTATAAAATACACACAGACCATATATTTATAAGAACAACTAGATCAGACTGTAAAATTCAAGTCCAAGTATAGTAGTAAAATGAATATAGATGCTCGTGTGAGAAACAAAGCTTCACATGGTTTCTCAACTTATTTTTTCTCTTTGACATTCCAAATTAAATTTTCGTCTATTTGTCATGACAATACCTACATACTCCCTCCGTCTCGTAATTAAGTTCACAGTTTGACTTCACACAGATTAAGAAAATAAATTTGACTTTACTTTGGACTTTTGGAGTGCACTGTTTAAACACTGTTTGACACTGTTTGGACACTGTTTGGCACTTTGATGTAGATTATTTGCCAAATAAGAAAAGTTTTAAAGTGTGAAATTAATTTCGGGACTGCCCGAAAAGGAAAGTGAGAAGTTAATTTTGGGACGGATTTTGGGACGGAGGGAGTATTTAACATATTTCAAAATAATAAATAACAAAAAACCATCAACAAAAAAATTAAAATCAGCAATTACTTAATTAAAATCTACAATTATAAAATAAAATATTAGTGACAAAATAACTAATGGAATAATTACGATTATAAATTACTAATGTAAAAGAGTAATAATAATAACATTATCACTAATTACAATTCAATCAAGTATGATTAAGTTATTGTTGAAAAGTGCATGTAATAATGATTGAGTAAAGGGTCAGTTTGGTCCTCGAAGTTGCAAAAAAGGGGTCAAATAAGTCCTTATATAGAAGATTCTGTCCGGACGTGCCATTTGAGGTGGCTCCCGATAGAATTTTTTGATGAATTTTTTTTAACATCTTATTCATTAAGTCTAGTTTACTCATACCAAATTTCAGCTAACAATTCAATTGGGGAGACATTCAAATGAATTCTTGAAGATAACTGCGCTTTTAACGGCACAGTTATCTTCAAGAATTCATTTGAATGTCTTCCCGATTGAATTTTTATTTGAAATTTGGTATGAGTAAACTAGACTTAATGAATAATATGCTCAAAAAAGTTCATCAAAAAATTTCACCGGGAGCCACCTCAAATGGCACATCCGGACATAATTTTCTATATAAGGACTTATTTGACCCCTTTTTTGCAACTTCGAGGACCAAACTGACTCTTATCCCAATAATGATTAATGAGTGACCCCCAAACCTAAACTACAAAATCCGAAGTTCCCAATTGATGGCCGCCAATTGCATAAGGAAGAAAAGAAGGGTCTGGAGATATTATGTAAAGCCTAATAAGAACTAAGTAATGCTAACGCTTGGGGCAAGAAGGCTACGATAGAACTTGGATTTCTGAATTGCGAATTAGACGGCCACAGAAAGAAATAAAGCTGAGAAAAAGATTCAATAGAATTTGGTATTGCAAGGATTCACAAATGGAATCCGGGAAGCGTAGTTTGGGGTTTTTGGGCGACGGCTGCCTACTGCTAAGAGGAGCAAATATCAATTAATTTTCATACTATTAGTACGTATTACAATAAATTGAGGCCCTACTAAATTGAGAGGCCCTAGGCAAAAGCCTACCTCAACTGCCCTCATGGCCGGCTCTGCTCACACCTTCTAGGAAGGAGCTATCCAACAAATGAACATGGGAAGAGATTTCTTGGTGATAGCTAGGAAACTCCATAGCAATGGGAATGGAAGCTTGGATGCAACTTCCTCATGTCTCCCATATACACCTATAAATAGGGAGTGTATTGTTGTTCATTTGTATCAGTTTAGAAAGTGAGAAAAGTGTGTGAAGAGTGAAAATACACTTAGGGTAGAAGTGTATTGGTGAGGATTGGTTTTTTGTAATAGTTGAGTGTGAGAGTTTGCTCCTCCTATTGTAATTCTGTTCTTGATATTGAATAGAAGAATTTTCCAATCCCAACAAGTGGTATCAGAGCGAGGTTGAGTTTTCATACACTGTTTTCTCATTTTCAGATAAATTTCTACAGGTTAGAAAATCGTGATTTTTCAAGTTGCTCGGAATCACGATCTGATCATACCGTTAGATTCGTCTCGTCGAGACGAGAAATCTGGTATTTTTGGGGAATTTTTTGGCCACCGGAAGAGGCCGTACGCGCCGCCCAAACGCGCCGGAAAACTGCCTGCGTCATCATTGCGTCATCACGCAGTCCAGAGGAAGAAGGCGAGCCACGTAAGCCACCACGTCAGCCGCCACGTCAGCGCCACGTCAGTCCACGTAAGCGCCACGTCATCCGCCACGTCAGTCGTGCAAGCCATCCTTTGGGTGTCACGTCAGCGCCGCGTCAGCGCCGCATCAGTGACACGTGGCGCCACGTCAGCGCCAGCGCAGAGCCAGCTGTTGCCATGTCATCCGCCTGCTGGTCTGCTCACTGGGCTGCTGCCTGAACCGGACCGAACCGGTTCGTACTTGTGGAGGCCGGTTCACCCATTTTCAGACCGGTTTTGGACGAGGTCAGACCGGTTCCTACCATTTTCGGCCATTCCGGATCCAACGGTGAGCTCCGTTTGTCCAAATTCAGCTCCGAAAATAAGGTACGAGATATTTTGAGCGTTTTATTATGGATAAATCATCATCGGACACCATGATTGCGCTCACTTCCACAAATTACAATATGTGGAAGCCTCGGATGGAGGATTTGCTAAATTTGAGGGATTTAGCCGATCCTCTTGATAATAATGGCGTGAAACCGGATAAAAAGACGGATGAAGAATGGACAAAAATGAATAGAAAAACTGTCGCACAAATTCGGCAGTGGATCGATCATAGTGTGTTCCACCATGTTGCGCAAGAACAAAGTGCTTACACACTATGGGAGAAGCTTGGTAGCATGTATCAAGCAAAAACCGCCCGAAACAAGACATTACTAATGAGGAGATTAGTAAACCACAAGTTACGAGGAGGTATTTCGGTGTCAGAACACACCAGTCAATTCCAGGATCTTGTGAATCAGTTGAGCACCACCGGATGGGTTCTCAAAGATGAAGAGCAGGCGATACTACTCTTGAGCTCTCTACCTGACAGCTGGGAGACTCTTGTTGTCACTCTCAGCAATTCTGCTCCCAATGGCAAAGTGACTATGCAGATGGTCACAGATGCCCTCATGAACGAAGAAGCCCGAAGAAAAGAAGCCGGGACTGAACAATCATATGCCTTCGTGTCAGAAACCAACAGACGAGGGGGAGGCAGAAATGGAGGAAGAAGTCGAGGTCGAGTCGAGGTAGAGGCCAAGGTCAAAACAGAGGAAATTCTCAAGTTCGCGGCCGATCACAAGAACGAGGTATGTCCTGTGAAAACAATACTTGGTTTGAAGGATATTGCAACTATTGTGGTAATTATGGGCATAGAAAAAGAGATTGTAGAAAGTTTCTACGAGAGCAGCCACAGACGAGTCAAAATACTAGCCAAGAAGATGGTGTGACTATGGTTAGTTTGTCATCAGATGCGTGTCTTGTTACACATGGTGAACAAGAATGTTTACACGTAGGTACTCATGATGTTGAGTGGGTGATTGATACAGCCGCATCATTTCACGCCACTCCACACCAGAACTTATTCACATCTTATAAGTCAGGAGACTTTGGAGCTGTGAAGATGGGAAACACGAGTTTCTCGAAGATTGTTGGCATTGGTGATGTGCACATAACAACCAATGTCGGATGCGCACTTGTGTTGAAAGATGTTCGACATGTTCCGGATCTTAGATTGAATCTTATCTTCGGTACAGCTCTGGATCAGCAAGGATATCTTAACCGATTCAAAAAGGTACGTGGAAGTTATCTTAAGGTTCCTTGGTTGTTGCAAGAGGCCATATTTGTGGTACTCTTTATAAAACTCATGCAAAGTTGTGTCATCCAAGTCTTAATGCTGTTGAAGAAGAGATATCACCAAACTTGTGGCACCGGAGGCTAGGCCACTTGAGCGTGAAGGGATTGACAACTCTTGCAAAGAAGGAAGTCATTTCCATGGGCAAAGGTATTGCCCTAGATCCATGCGAACATTGTCTATTCGGGAAACAACACAGGGTTTCCTTCAGTTTTACCAGGAAGAACCATTCAGAGTTACTCAGTCTTGTACACTCTGATGTATGCGGACCCATTGAAGAGGAGTCACTTGGAGGAAGCAGATATTTCGTGACATTCATTGATGATGCATCACGAAAGGTATGGGCTTATTGTTTGAAGAGTAAGGATAAAGTGTTTGATCGCTTCAAATTATTTCATGCCATGGTAGAAAGAGAAACAGGGAAGAAGCTGAAGTGTCTACGTTCAGACAATGGAGGAGAG